TTCCACCACCACAGTCCTCTGGGATCTCATTTCCAGACATCCCTGTGTTGGCTTCGTTCCCACCCAAACGTAGCTCGTGACTTCTGGAGAACATCTGTGAGCAGTAAAGCATCAAATACTCATCACTCAGCAAGGGAAACTCAGAGTAATCAGTGCCAGGGCACAGTCAGGCCCAGCAAGTCTCATGGAAGGAGCTGGAGCTCCTGTCCGTCTGTCTGTCCATCCAACCCCCTTGCTGACCACTTCTCCTGCCCTGAGGCATCACAGCATCTCTTACTCAGGTTGCCTACATATTTGGACCATAAATGTGTTTTTCTTTTTCTTTTTTTTTTTTTTTTTTTTTTTTTTTTCCTGGCTGCATTTCTTAGATTCTGGACCTCACAAAGGACTTTCCTTGTTTTTCTAACACAGAATAAAGTTGATGAGATCAGAGAACAGGGTTGTAATAACTACACCCCCTTTTCCAGGCACTGGAACATCCCTCTTTCCATAAACCAACACAATGCTGCAAAGATCCCATTCCCAGCACAGAAATTACACTGCCTCTGTGCTGGCTTGGCCTGAGAGCATGATGTGACCCACTACATTCATAAAACCAAGTCAAGTTCTTCTTCTCATCAAAACCTGAGTACCAACTTTCCCTTCACACAGATCAGCAGACTACTCTCCTGAATCTGAGCCACTGATTTCACACAGAATGTGACAAACCACCAAGTGCACTCAGATCTAATTAAAAAATAATCACTTTTGTCTTGGATCTCCTTGATCTATATAATGTCTGGAGTCTTTTTCAGGCTAACAATGGGACAACTGATGCTGAATAGGGAGATATTCCTCCTGTCCCACTTCTCCATCTACAACAAGAATCTGTGTCTATGAAGTAGTCCAAATGCTGTTGACTTTCCAGTCCTACAGACTCAGTCACCATAGGATATGGCAAGACTGATTTTCATGAGATCCCAGCCTTTCCTGTTGCTTCTGCCAGAGACCATTTAGTAAAGAGAAAACACTATTTATGTCTTTCATCTCCTGAGAACTGCACAAACCATCACTTAAGAAGACAAGGTACAGTACAGCCCACACAGAGACACAGCAAGGACATGGCTGAGTCATGGGCTGAGCACCCGAAGGGCTTTCAGGCAGCTACAGCACAGAGCAACACTGCCTGGCTCAGGCTGCTTCCAATCCTATTTTTTTTCTCCCCAGTTCTCATCCTCTTCTTCTTTCTAGGTCTCACAATCAGTGCCTTCGTGACCAGACCCATAATGTACTCAGGGAATCATAAAACCATCAAGTATCCCAAGTCAGAAGGGACTCACAAGGATCACTGAGTCCAACCTTACTCCACACCGTGCCCCTAAAACCCAAACCCTACATCTGAGAGCCATGTCCAAACACTTCTTGAACTCATGCTTCAGTTGTCCAGCTGCAAAACTGGCTTTGCATCCAACAGTGAACTCAACCTCCATGTTTAGACAGCTGCGTGATCAGAGCCAGAGCAGTTGTCCAACTGCAGAAGAGCTTTTGCATCCAACAGGGACCTCAACCTCCACGCTTGGGTGAGTAGAGCACCCAGAAAAGCTGCACTACTGTGTCACAATGAGAACAAGAACAAAAAGTAGCAGCACCATCACAAGTCCACACCAGCCAGATTTCACCTGAGACAGAGCATAACTCAATTGGCATTGGTATTCAGCTCAGCCCTCTGGCTGTCACACCACTGCTGATACTACAACGGTGAAGGAACTTGAAGCAGATTATTTTTAGAGCACTGTAAAAAGGGAAAAAGGAAGCATTGTGTACATCCAAACCCAAATTAACAAGCTAGGCAGCTTTCTCTGTCCATGGTCACATCTGCTTTCTGATGCTGAATATTTGGCAATTATCCCTTCTCTTTAAAAACCCTGAGTAGGATTCAGCCCTTTTTATGACACATCATGATCCCAATCCCGCCTGGTTCTTCCAAGGTTTCCTGCAGATCTCTCAGCTCAGGAAGGAGGGAGGGTTATGATGTGAATCCCCTTGCTGACGCGTTGGAGGAAACTGCCTTCAATACTCCACACAGTATAATTTTGCCTACTTTGCTCTTTTCTCTTGTTATGCCTGAAATCAGAGCTTCTTAGAAATATGCATGGCTGAAAATACATGCTCTAAGAACTTATTTCAGTTTTATACAGAGCCAATGAGAGTTCTGGAGTTACCGAGAGGTAATGTGTTTTTAGATGGCCCTAAAATGAATGAATGAATAAAACCAGCCATGCATTTACACATGGATAAATGTTTATCAATCACAAACCCAGCAACAGGTTTCGGTTTTGTAACAACACCTCCTTTAAACATGAAATGGATTATTTTGGTTTAAATGTGTGTTTCTCAATGCTCAGATTCACAGTCGATGGTCAGATGAAAGAGATGGAGTTATGGCCAAAGTGGCTGTCCAACAAGCCTAAATTTAACTGTTTTCTTTTCAGAATCATCCATCTCTTGCATCTACATTTAGGGTATTAAAAGATCAGATCTGAGTGCTTTTACTCCCTTCCTTCATTGCAGAAGCAGAACAAACCTCTGAAGAAAAGCACAGATTACACCAATGGAAAAGGTCTGACCAAATCCATGAGCTCTGAAAGCACACAGAGCCCACCAAGGGCTCTGAATTAAACCACATCCCCATTTGCTGGACACGCACTGTGCAATTTGTTGATCTGGGCTGGATCAACTCAATCACAGCCCCAAAATGGCAAATCAACCCAACAGAACCCAGCAGGGATCACTGCAGATTTGCATTGCATATCCTCCCTCCCAAACTTCACTCTTTGGGTCAGTGTTAAGCTTGACCACTGCTAGAGGCAGCTCTGCTGAACCACAGCAAATAACATTTACCCAGTTTCTTCTTTCCACAGTAGAACACGAGAGGGCAAGGTGAAACTTTACAGGGGCAATTAGAAGCCACGGGGCCACAACAGCTTTATAGCACTGAACTTCTCAATCAGCCTATTGCTCTCGTTCAAAGTTTTTTTCCAATGGCAGACCAATAAAAGTTATCACAACAAACTTTGCAAAAAAACCTTTGCAATCTCAGGTCCCAGAGCCAGACTGTCACCACCACACAGCTATCTTTTGCTTTAAAAACAAATCCTGATTCCTGGGCTCAAACAGCGAAACAGAAACAACAGGGATTTGCTCTGGCACTGAGACACTTTGGTATTAGTCACCTTGTGTAGATCAGCATAGATAAGGAGATTGTAAATCTCTCTAACCCACCAGCACAAACCAGGTGCAGGAAAAGCAACACAGCAAAAGAACAGCAAAGCAACTGAAGGTTCCATTAAACCAAGGCAAGGAAGCAAGATAAAGCATGGAACGAGAAAACACTACAAGGGTTGAAAAAGGACTGGGATTGACCCTTGGAACACAATGAAGCTGCAGGTTGCCACTGTTGCAGAGCTTCAGGGTGTGCACTCACCAACAGGACCAAGCGACACAAACGCATGCCAAACTACAACATGTGGTGCAAACAACTCTGCAGGATCCTGACCCAGAGGACCCCTTCATGCCAACAGCATTTAATGAACTGGGATTTTTTTTTGCCACGAGCTTCAGCGGGAGCAAAGGCTGGAGCAGCTCCAGCAGCTGAGGAGCACTGCTCCTCTCTTAACCCCCCCTCAACTCCAGCCCTGGCCATGAGCTGTTTTGGATCTTCACTATGGCAAAATCTATAGGATTCCTGGAATGAAATACCTGGCCATTTTTTATTCACATGTACATATATTCCAATCCATTTTCCCACCTGTTCTTCCTCAAAGAAAGTTTTGGTGATGAAGTTGCTTGGGTGGCTCACACTGACAGCAGAAAAGAAAGCAACACTGAAACAACTGCTTTGTGAGAAGGGGAGAAGTAAGGAGACACAAGTGATGCAGTCTCAAATCTGGGTTACTTGTCACTCTCTGAGGTTCAGCCTGGTTGGCTCTGCCCTATGGGGAGTGGAGTGGTTCAAAGCTGTCACTTGCTGAGCAGAGCCAAAGTGGCTGGAACTGGATAGTCCTTAAGGTTCCTTGCAACCCAACCCACTCTGTGATCATACAGGGAGACCTGTGGCCATGTGCCAATGGGCAACCAGTTCCCATGGGCAACATCAGCCAACTCTATGGGAAGGAAACTCAGCCACAGCCAGCTCCCCATGCAGCTCACCAGATAATAATAATAAAAAAAAAAAGTGTGGAACGAGCTAGAAATTGCAAACTGCAAGGAAACAAGAGCTTCAGTAAAACATTCAGTACCCAACCCCACGCCTGCACTGTTTGCACAGCAAATCAGCTATTGCATGCACCAGCAGAATCAATCCCATTTGCTAACCCCTACAGCATGCTACCAACTGTCAGCAGTGGGAAAGAAGCAGCGCTGCCCGTGGTCAGGGACTGGCTAGCATGGAAATTACAAGCAGAAGGGACAGAGCGGGAAGAAAACACATCCTTTGCTGCCAAAGGATGAACGATGAGGTTGAAGTGCCGGAGAATGGCACTTTGCTGAACTTCTCATGGGTGGGGATGGTACCATCTGGAGCCTCTGTCCTGGGGTATCGCATCCCGTTACTCCCAGTTTTGGCAGGGTGCTGCACGAAAACCATTGCGCTCCTGAGCGGGAGCGGCAGACGGCAAAGCTGAATGCCAGCGGGAGTCGAGAGAAAGCACTGAAAACACAAAGTGAATTCCTCGAGCTCCTGCGATACCGTTACTCTTGAAGAGGGAGTGCTCAGAGAAAGAAAAATAAATAAACAAATAAAGGAGGAAAGAAGGAGAAAAAAATAATAATAACTAAGAGATTCCCGCTTATACACAGAAAGGGAAACCCAGCAAACGCACACCTGCCTTTCACCGACCGCGTTTCCAAAGTTGCCCAAACTTTGCTTTAAGCGAAACGCCTCTTCTGAACCCATCCAACAAAAACCGAGCGCCTACAGACCGGGGCAGAACCCCACGCAACCCCGCACCGGCAGCACTCACCGCGGATAGGAGGCAGCCCAGCAGAGGCAGGAGGACGCGCAGCCGCGCGGATTGCATTGCCGAGGACACCGCGCTCCGCCGAGCTCCGAGCGCTCCGTTCCTCGCCTCAGCGCTGCGCTGCGCTCCAGGACTTGCGCTCCCGTTGCGCGCATTCACGGTGAGAGAACAGAGAGACGGAGAGAGAGACAGAGGGACGGAAACGGCTCCGCACGGCTCCGCACGGCTCCGCACCGCTCCGCCGCCCCCAGCCGCCTTCTGCACGGGGCGGGACCGCTCCGCCTCCCTCCCGCCCCAGGTGCCGGAGCTGCACGGGGGAGGGAGGGGGTGCCCTCCTCCCCTTATCCATTTTTATATATTTTTTTATCTCTTTTTTTCTCTTCCCGTTTTTTTCCCTTTCCCCGTCCGTTCCCCATTTCCTTCCTCCTCCTTTTTTTCCCCTCCCTTAGTTTTTACATTCTTTCTTTCACCCCCCCCCCCTTCCCCTTTTCATTTTTCTTCGTTTTCCTCCTTCTCCCTTTCTTCCACATTCCATTCCTTTCCCCCGTTTTCCGCCTTTCACTGCTTCCCCCTTTCTCTCCCTTCCCCCCCTCTTTCTCCCTTCTCCCCTTTTTCTTCTCCCACCCCTCCCCTTTTCTCCCCTTTCCCCTCGTATCTTTATTTTCCCCCAGTTCCCATATTTTTTTTTCTCTTTTCCACCTTATCTTTTTTGCCTCCTTTCTCCCCTTTTTCCCTCCTCCCTCCCTTTCCACCGTTTTTCTCTTTTACAGACTTTCTCCACTTCTAAAACCTTGGGGGGCGCGCCCCCCCCCGGCGGGCGCCGGGCGTGTGTCCCTTTCCTCTTTTCCCTTTTCTCTTTTCCTTTTTCTCTTTCCCTT